ATATTCAGAGTGGAAACCTCAAGGATTTTAATATTGTTGTCAAAGAAGAATTTGAAGAGGAGGATGAGGAGTATGGAATGATGGAGGAGTTTTCAGAAGGACACAGGATATGATGGAGCCACCTAATACCAGGAACCCACCAGAGAGATGTCCCCGTCCTCTGTATTCCCGGGGTTCAAAAAAGGAAGGTCACACCATCCCTCACCATCATCAGGTAGATGAGGAACAATCACTGATAGTATCATTAGGATCTGTACATTATCTGCATTGTTACCATTGATGGCATTTTTTATTATATATTCAGAGTGGAAACCTGAGAGATCCTAAAGTTGAGGTGAAAGCAGAAGAAGAAGAGGCGTTTGTGAGGGATGATCAGCAGTCTATGGAGGAGGATGGAATAACGGGGACATTTATAGAGGAGGACACTCCTACAGAGATCAGCACAGGTGGGTCATGAACACTAAATCCATTCCTCCACCCATACTGCTCACTGATTGGTCCAGAGTAGGGCGGGGACTGGGTGATATCAGCCTGTAATCCCCTGGTCACTTTCCTGAGCTGTGTTCCCCGTCCTGTATTCCTGGATTTCTCTCGGATAATCTTCCTTCTCTGTGCTGCAGACACAATTTATGTATCTAGACTGGATTTATGGAGATTCTGGGGTTCAGCTGGCAGCAAAATGTTGAATTTTGATATAGGCGTTACTGGTCCTAGGCACCTGAGGTATGTGTTTTGAATCTTCTGATCCATGGCCGGGTCTATCAAGATCTCTGACAGAGCAATTCTCCCAGGGTTACCTGTAGGCCTATGTAGGTTGACCTCCCTATAAAGGTGGTGCTGTTGCAACCACCCTGAAGGAAAAGTAGAGAACAGGAGTAATGCACATTCCTCCTAGGCCTCTGTGTCTACGTGTCATCAGGGGGGGCTGCTGTCCGATCAGAAGCATAAGCCACCGTGGCCATAACCAAAAAAGTTGAATCTCTCTACGTCAGAGAGGAGGTTCTGGCCCCTGCACTATAGTTGGCCCTACAGACCACCATCTTAAACAGGAACTGGTTCACCTGACCAAGGGCGATAACCCTTTTACAAAGGATCCGAATGAAGACCAGAGCATGTTGGCAATGTGGTTGCTTTGAGCACCTGGCCAGGAACTGTGGCTGTTTTGAGAATAAGGGTACCCCTTGTCTGTCATTAACCTAGAAGTTCTGGGTCAGAGGGATAACCCCCGGGACTACTCATCAATGTCCTACAAGACAGGAGGCAATGGTAGGCCCAAGCCCGGTAGTGACTGCTTTAGTGGATGGACAATTGGTCCTTCCTTGATCGACACTGGATCTGAAGTCACTGGAATATCCAGCATTTTCGGACCCAAGGCCAGGTAGACCCCTCTTGATTGTCTCTAAAGGCAGCTAACAATTTACACATCAGGGTGAAAGAGGTCACATGGATGAAGAATCCTAATATTTGACTAAGTGGTTCAAGGAGTTGGAGTAGTGGTCACCCACTGGCCAGTCGTGTCCTTGGCATCAATGTCCAAAAGAGTCTGGGACTTGCCTCACCTGCTGGCAGAGATGCAATGGCTGGCTGAGTGAACCAAACCAGAGTTGTGTCTTGGGGTCAGTGTGGTTCAATGTGATGCAGGTCCTACACAGCCCACCAAAAGGGTGGCAAAACAGCAGCTGGAAAGGGTGGGTTTTGTCAGCACAGCACCAAAGTAGAAGCTGCTTTTGGCCTTCCTCCAAAAAGTAATTTGGCCCTTGCCTATAGGGATCCACAAGAAGCTTCAGGGTGCCACAATTATGGTAGCACCCTACAGAAACCTAGAGATGTCAGGGTAGTGGCTAATAACTCACACCCTGTCCAAGGTTCACCAGGGCTGAGTACTGGTCCAGCTCATCAACCTGGGGACGGTCCCTGTCCTGCTGCACAAACCACAAGATCCTCACAGATTTCTATGTCATGTCCAATCATTGCATTGAGATGTGGCTGAGGAAATCACTCTCAACCTTTTACCGCTGCAGCTGGAGGACCAGGTGCTAGTGTAAAAAAACTAAATTTTTTAGAGGGGTAGCAAGCTAGAGCCCGGTGGGAAACCACCTCATACTGGGTGGAGAAAACAGCCATTCCTACCATTCCCGGTATATGATGTGGTGTCTGAGGGCACTGAATATTTTGTTGTATGTAATGTACTGCCTATCATTATTGCATTTTTTTTTTTGTTAATCTGTTTACCTTGCTGAATTTCACTGTTTTATGATTATCGTAGGGGAATCGATGAAGGACAGGTGTAGGCATATAGTGGGGCAAAAAAGTATTTAGTCAGCCACCAATTGTGCAAGTCTTCTCCCACTTAAAAAGATGAGAGAGGCCTGTAATTGGCATCATAGGTAGACCTCAACTATGAGAGACAAAATGAGAAAACAAATCCAGACAATCACATTGGCTAATTTGGAAAGAATTTATTTGCAAATTATGGTGGAAAATAAGTATTTGGTCACCTACAAACAAGCAAGATTTCTGGCTGTCACAGACCTGTACCTTCTTCTTTAAGAGGTCCTCTGTCCTGCACTCATTACCTGTATCAATGGCACACCTGTTTTGAACTTTTATCAGTATAAAAGACACCTGTCCACACCCTCAAACAGTCACACTCCAAACTCCACTGTGGTGAAGACCAAAGAGCTGTTGAAGGACACCAGAAACAAAATTGTAGACCTGCACCAGGCTGGGAAGACTGAATCTGCAATAGGCAAGCTGCTTGGTGTGAACAAATCAACTGTGGGAGCAATAATTAGAAAATGGAAGACATACAAGACCACTGATGTGTCTCCCTCGATCTGGGGCTCCACGCAAGATCTCACCCCGTGGGGTCAAAATGATCAAGAACGGTGAGCAAAAATCCCAGGACCACACGGGGGGACCTAGTCAATGACCTCAGAGAGCTGGGACCAACGTCACTTCAGTATCACACTCCCAGGGACTCAGATCCTGCAGTGGGGGTGGCTTAAGCCAGTACATGTGGGGGCTAGAGAGCATTTCGATGATCCAGAAGAGGATTGGGAGAATGTCATATGGTCAGATGAAACCAAAATAGAACTATTGCATGGTAGAAACACAACTCGTCGTGTTTGGAGGAGAGAGAATGCTGAGTTGCATCCAAAGAACAACATACCTACTGTGAAGCATGGGGGTGGCAACATCATTGCTTTGGGGCTGTATCTCTGCAAAGGGACCAGGACGACTGTCCATGTGTACAGGACAGAATGAATGGGGCCATGTATCGTGAGATTTTGAGTACAAACCTCCTTCCATCAGCAAGGGCATTGAAGATGAAACCTGGCTGGCTCTTCCAACATGACAATGATCCCAAACATACCGCCCGGGCAACGAAGGAGTGGCTTCGTAAGAAGCATTTCAAGGTCCTGGAGTGGCCTAGCCAGTCTCCAGATCTCAACCCCACCATAGAAAACCTTTGGAGGGAGTTGAAAGTCCGTGTTGCCCAGCAACAGCCCTCAAAACATCACTGCTCCTAGAGGAGATCTGCATGGAGGATCCTTTGCCAACATACCAGCAACAGTGTGTGCCAACCTTGTGAAGACTTACAGGAAACGTCTGACCTCTGTCATTGCCAACAAAGGATATATAACAAAGTATTGACATGAACTTTTGATATTGACCAAATACTTATTTTCCACCATAATTTGCAAATAAATTCTTTCCAAATCAGCCAATGTGATTGTCTGGATTTTTTTCCTTTTTTGTCTCTCATAGTTGAGGTCTACCTATGATGCCAATTACAGGCCTCTCTCATCTTTGTAAGTGGGAGAACTTGCACAATTGGTGGCCCCTGACTAAACTACTTTTTTGCCCCACTGTATGTAGATTGACTTCCCTACACAGCTCTGTGGTACTATTGCAACCCTGCACTGCAGGGAGAGTAGAGAACAGGAGGAATGTACATTCCTCTTAGGCCTCTGTACATGTCATTGGGTGGGCTGCTGTCTAATTGGATGATACCACCCAGATGATCCTGTGGACATATACTTAATTTAAGATCAATACTTATAAAATGCACTGGCTCACTGCACTGTAGATTTTGCATGTAGTTATAGTAAAGGAAAGGAACCCGTTGGATAGGGAGAATGTGCCTAGCATCAGGGAGAAGTGGGGGCAGCATAGAGACAGTCATCAGTGCTGCTGTTTTTCGAACCTTTCCACACTAGTTCTTGCTGCTTACCCTCCACCAGCTGCCCCCCGTGTCAGGTGCAGTCAAGTCACTGAGCAGCGCTCTCTGCAAATACTGTATAATCATCTGTGAGTGGGCTTCAGGATCAGTCCAGTCTTCATCTTGGTTGTTCTCCCCCCATCCTCACTCTCTGACCTCTGGTGGGGCTCAGCCCCGCTGTTCTTCCTGAATAAATCAAGGACTAAATAAGGAATGCAGTACTTCTTGTGTTGGGAAGATGGCGATGAGTGATAGAGGGGGTGGGGACCCTCGTCCTATAATCCCCTCATCACTGTCCCTCCTATAAAAGACAGTTCTGGTTGTTTCCTCACTCTCTGACTAAGGTCCATGAATAAAGAAATGACCTGGTAGGAGATCAGAGGAGCCATTTCCTAGTTCCCTTGAGGGTGGAATTGTAAGCTCCTCAGAGACCAAGCTGCCTGATGTGGGTGGAGTCCTGGTTTGGGGGAACCAATCAGCTCCTGTCTAGTAATCCTCCTTGTTTTTGTATTTTAGTCCATGGCCGGGAGATGAGGAAAACCTCCGAGGATTGTCTCACTTTGTCTCCAGACTGGAAAGTAGAAGATGAGGACATCACACAGTATAGTCCAGGAGAAAACCCAGCTCCCTCCAATGTCCATCCAGCACCACCCAGTGTAGATGGACCATCGGATTCCTCGTATCCTGAGGAACCTCAGACTGTGCAGGATGGGGCCAACCTTCCACCAGACAAGAGGTTTCCCTGTACTGAGTGCGGGAAATGTTTCTATTTTAAATCCAAACTTAATGAGCATAAAAGATCTCACACAGGGGAGAAGCCATATGTCTGTCCGGAGTGCGGGAAATGTTTTTCACAAACGTCCAATTTTTACAGACATCAGAGATCTCACATGGGGGAGAAGAAACATTCCTGTCCTGAGTGTGGGAAATGCTTTTCACATAAGTCCGATCTTTCTATTCATCAGAGATCTCACACGGGGGATAAGCCACTTTCCTGTCCTGAGTGTGGGAAAATTTTTTTCAGACAAGTCCAATCTTTACAGACATCAGAGATTACACACAGGGAGAAAGCCGTATTCTTGTCCTGAGTGCGGGAAATGTTTTTCAAGGAAGTCCAATCTTAACACACATCAGAGATTACACACAGGGGAGAAGCCGTATTCCTGTCCTGAGTGTGGGAAATGTTTTTCCCAGAAGTCTGACCTTTCCATACATCAGAGATCTCACACAGGGGAGAAGCCGTATTCTGTCCTGAGTGTGGGAAATGTTTTTCACAAAAGTCTGGTCTTTACAGACATCAGAGATCTCACACAGGAGAGAAAAGCCATATTCCTGTCCTGAGTGCGGGAAATGTTTTTCACAAATGTCCATTCTTCACAGACATCAGAGATTGCACACGGGGGAGAAAGCACTTTCCTTTCCTGAGTGAGGGGAAATGTTCCTCACTGAAGTCCTGTCTTCCTGTACATCAGGGGTCCCACACAACCCTGGAGGTGTATTAGTGCCTTGAGTGCGGGAAATGTCTTCTAGATGAATGTTGCTGGACATCCCAGCTCTCATGTGGGGAAGAAGCACACCCTGATATACACCTCAGATATACTCCATGGCTGATCTTCATCATGGAAGAAACTGTTCATAAAGGAGATCAGAGGTCCCCAAAGATGTGGATGAAGTGTGGGACTGGGTCGGCCATTGATAGCAGGAGAAGAATAAAAATGGAATCATCATCTTTCATTGGCTGAGTACATTTTGTGGTTACATAGTTTCATAGTTTGGTTGAAAAAAGACACAAGTCCATCTAGCTAGACCATTAAAAGGGGAAAAAAGTTATACAATCCTATACCCAGAGTTGATCCAGAGAAAGTCAACCTCAATAAAGAATGATCCAATTTGCTCCTGCAGGGGAAAAAAAACCCTTCTTCATCCCCCGAGAGGCAATCAGATATTCCCTGGATCAACTTTACCTATAAATGTTATATCCAGCTATATTCTGTGTATCCAAGAATGAGGGAGTCTATTCCACATTTTCACAGCTCTTACTGTGAAGAAACCTTTCCGTGTTTGGAGATTACATTTCTTTTCCTCCAGATGTAAAGAGCGCCCCTTGTCTTCTGTGATGATCTCAGGGTGAATAGCTCTACACTGAGTTCACTATATGAACCACTGATGTATTTATACATGGAGATCATATCCCCCTTATGTATTATACATGGAGATCATATCCCCCCCTTATGTATTATACATGGTGATCATATCCCCCCTTATGTATTATACATGGAGATCATATCCCCCTTTATGTATTATACATGGAGATCATATCCCCCCTTATGTATTATACATGGAGATCATATCCCCCCTTATGTATTATACATGGAGATCATATCCCCCCTTATGTATTATACATGGAGATCATATCCCCCTTTATGTATTATACATGGAGATCATATCCCCCCTTATGTATTATACATGGAGATCATATCCCCCCTTATGTATTATACATGGAGATCATATCCCCCTTATGTATTATACATGGAGATCATATCCCCCCTTATGTATTATACATGGAGATCATATCCCCCCTTATGTATTATACATGGAGATCATATCCCCCCTTATGTATTATACATGGAGATCATACCCCCCCTTATGTATTATACATGGAGATCATATCCCCCTTATGTATTATACATGGAGATCATATCCCCCCTTATGTATTATACATGGAGATCATATCCCCCTTATGTATTATACATGGAGATCATATCCCCCCTTATGTATTATACATGGAGATCATATCCCCCCTTATGTATTATACATGGAGATCATATCCCCCTTATGTATTATACATGGAGATCATATCCCCCTTATGTATTATACATGGTGATCATATCCCCCCTTATGTATTATACATGGAGATCATATCCCCCCTTATGTATTATACATGGAGATCATATCCCCCCTTATGTATTATACATGGAGATCATATCCCCCTTATGTATTATACATGGAGATCATATCCCCCTTATGTATTATACATGGAGATCATATCCCCCCTTATGTATTATACATGGAGATCATATCCCCCCTTATGTATTATACATGGTGATCATATCCCCCGCTTATGTATTATACATGGAGATCATATCCCCCTTATGTATTATACATGGTGATCATATCCCCCCTTATGTATTATACATGGAGATCATATCCCCCCTTATGTATTATACATGGAGATCATATCCCCCCTTATGTATTATACATGGTGATCATATCCCCCTTATGTATTATACATGGAGATCATATCCCCCCTTATGTATTATACATGGAGATCATATCCCCCCTTATGTATTATACATGGTGATCATATCCCCCCTTATGTATTATACATGGAGATCATATCCCCCCTTATGTATTATACATGGAGATCATATCCCCCTTATGTATTATACATGGAGATCATATCCCCCCCTTATGTATTATACATGGAGATCATATCCCCCTTATGTATTATACATGGAGATCATATCCCCCCCTTATGTATTATACATGGAGATCATATACCCCTTACAGTGGGAAAAATAATTATTTGATCCCTTGCAGATTTTGTGAATTGTCCCACTTACAGAGAAATGAAGGGTCTATAAGTTTTATAATAGGTGTATTTTAAACAAGATAGACAGAATATCAACCAAAAACCCAGTAAAAAAAAACATGATACAAATGTTATAAACTGAGTTGCATTTCAGTGAGTAAAATAAGTATTTGATCCCCTACCAACCAACAATGATTCTGGCTCCCACAGACTGGCTATATGCTCATGTGGCACACAGATTAGTCCTGCCAATTTAAGAAAGTGTTCCTACTGACAGCTTGTTATGTGTATAAAAGACACCTGTCCACAGAATCTCTTTCTTGGGCACCACCATGGGCAGGACCAAAGAGCTGTCAAATGATGTCAGGGACAAGACTGTAGACCTGCACAAGGCTGGAATGGGCTACAAGACCATCAGTAAGAAGCTTGGTGAGAAGGAGGCAACTGCTGGAGCGGTTATTTGCAAATGGAAGTGTAAGAGGATCAAGCGGAAAAAGATGGGCACTGTCACCAATACCCAGCATGGCCACAGGTTGCATGGTCCCGTGCGCATAGGCGCACGCAGGTCATGATCATGCACGTGGGTGCGTGAATTAGTGCATACGCGGTGGCACACGCTGGACACAATAGTTTGTGGTGTCCGTTTGCCTTTAAAAGGACTGCAGTACTGACCACTAGTTCCTGGATGATCATCAGCCTCCTGTGTTCCTGTGCCTTTGCCTTGTCATTATCTGATTTCACGTTGCCGACCCGGATAGCCTCTGACCAGTCTGATCTTCTGGCTCTGACTCCTGGTTTGTTCTACTGACTCTGCTGCTGCCTGATTACCTGTGTATGACCTCGGCTTATTCTGACCTCGCTCCTGCCTGATCTTTTGTGTTTGACCCTCAGCCTGCTCCTGACCTTGCTTCTTCTTACTTTGGCTTCTGATTGACCTCCTGTGTTTGACCTCTGGCCTAACTTCGACTCCGATCCCTGCCTGCTGCCAAGTTCTGCCTGCCATGTCTGGGGAACATACACTTAGGTCCATATATATTTGGACACAGGCACACTTTTCATACTTTTGGCTCTGTATGCCACCAGAATAAATAAAACGAAACAATCCAAATGAATTTGAAGTGCAGACTTTCAGCTTTAATTCAAGGGGCTGAACATAAATATCAAGTACAGATTTTAGGAACTGCAGCCATTTTTATACACAGTCCCTCCATTTTCAGGGGCTCAAATGTAATTGGACAAATGAATATAATCATAAATAAAATGTTCATTTTTAATATTTTGTTGAGAATCCTTTACTGGCAATGACTGCCTGAAATCTGGAACCCATGGACATTACCAAAGACTGGGTTTCCTCTTTTCTGATGCTTTGCCTGAAGTCTGGAACCCATGGACGTTACCAAAGACTAAGTTTCCTCCTTTCTGATGCTTTGCCTGAAGTCTGGAACCCATGGATGTTACCAAAGACTGGGTTTCCTCCTTTCTGATGCTTTGCCTGAAGTCTGGAACCCATGGACGTTACCAAAGACTGGGTTTCCTCCTTTCTGATGCTTTGCCTGAAGTTTGGAACCCATGGACATTACCAAAGACTGGGTTTCCTCCTTTCTGATGCTTTGCCTGAAGTCTGGAACCCATGGACATTACCAAAGACTGGGTTTCCTCCTTTCTGATGCTTTGCCAGGCTCTAACTGCAGCTGTCTTCAGTTGTTCTGTGTTTGTGGGTCTTTCTGCCTTTAGTTTTGCCTTCAGCAAGTGAAATGCTCAATTGGGTTGAGATCAGTTGATTGACTCGGCCATTGCAGACTATTCCATTTCTTTTCCTTCAAAAGCTCCTGGGTTGCTTTTGCAGTGTGTTTTGGATCATTGTCCATCTGTACTGTGAAGCGCCGTCCAATCACCTTTGCTGCATTTGGCTGAATCTGGGCTGACAGCATATCTCTAAACACTACAGAATTCATCCGGCTGCTTCTGTCATCTCATCAATAAACACCAATGACCCAGTGCCACTGGAAGCCATGCATGCCCATGCCATCACACTGCCTCCACCATGTTTTACAGATGACGTTTTGTGCTTTGGATCATGAGCTGTTCCAAGCCTTCTCCACGCTTTTTTCTTCTCGTCATTCTGGTACAGGTTAATCTTAGTTTCATCTGTCCAAAGAATACTTTTCCAGAACTGGTCTGGCTGTTTTAGATGTTGTTTGGCAAAGTCTAATTTGGCTTTTCTATTCTTCAGGCTTCTGAATGGTTTGCACCTTGTTGTGAACCCTCTGTATTTGCTCTCATGAAGTCTTCTCTTGATTGTAGACTTTGACAATGATACGCCCACCTGAAGAGTGTCCTTCACTTGTCTGGATGTTGTGAATGGGGTTTTTCTTTACCATAGAGAGGATCCTGCGATCATCCACCACTGTTGTGTCCCATGGACATCCATGTCTTTTTATGTTGCTGAGCTCACCAGTGCGTTCTTCTTTCCTCAGAATGTACCACACTGTTGATTTGGCCACTCCTAATGTTGCCGCTATCTCTCTGATGGATTTGTTTAGATTTTGAAGTGTTACAATGGCCTGTTTCACTTGCATGGACAGATTGTTTGAACGCATGATGTAGGTTCACAGCAATAGATTCCAAATGCAAATACC